AGTTTCGCTTAGCTGAAAAAAAGTTAAAAAATAAAAACCTACTAGTGGTAGGAGTTTTCGTTGCGGCGAGTCCACCGGCTCACCTTCACGGCTGGGCGTTTTTTTTCGGTCAACTTGTAGAAAACAGAACGATGAATACAATGGTAGAAAAATCGCACGAAACAAGAAACGGGAAGTGGCTCATCGGAGGCGGTTGCGAGTTTTGGCCGCAGCTTTCGGCTCACCCACCATTCCTCTTGCTCTGATTTGGCCATGAGGGTGCTCGGAATTAAATTCCGAGTGGATAGAAGAATTTTTACCTTTTTTAGCTGTCAGAGGTGGCTCCGGCGCTACGACGGTCGGCTCTTTTTTCTTATAACTGGTTCTTCTTCTCCGGCGGGAGGCTGGCGGCTAAGGTTTGGATTCAGTGTGATGTGAGATATTTATACCCGTCTCGCGTTAATTTGGACCGTTCATCGCGTTTGATCTCGACCGTCCAATCACATTTAAAGAGAAAATGAATTTGGACTGTTCATCGCGATTTGATCTTAATCGTCCGATCGTATTTAAGGAAGAAATAAATCTGAACCGTTCATCACATTTGATCGTGACCGTCTGATCGCACTTGAGGATGGAACGGATCCAGACTGTCCACACGCGCGGGAATGCTTCCAAGCAGTCCGATCGCGGGGCACACAAATCGTCAACGTTGCCTCTCACATGGCATCGAGTCAGCGTGCTTTGCCACATGGTGCACTCCTGTTCGTCGAGACTACTGATTGGACAGTCCTACGTAACACACTTTTTTTAATTACATTCTGACCCCCAATTTTCGATTTTTCTATCAAAAATACCAACTGAATCTAAATTTTCACCCATTTTTTTTCAAAATTATTTTTAATTTAATCATCAACTTATTTTTTTTATAATTTTACATTAAATTAAAATTTATTAATTTTAAAAATAAATTTTTATACATTTTTTTTATATTTAAATTAATTATGGATCAAATTTCAAACCCGGTATTACAGCAACTATGATATAAAGAAAATAAGTTTTGTTTAACCCTGAAATATTGGACTTGGGAAACAATCTGTCTCAGCCGATGATCTTGACCTGATTTGGAGGAAACTTTTGGCCGGAGAATCTTAAACATGGGCGTGAATCAATCCAATATGAACCAAAAAGTTTTGGCCAGAGAATCTTGGACTAACGCATCTATTTGGTCTGAAACTTGTTTACAGATCTTGACATTACTCAACTGAAGCACAATTCTTGACCTAAATATTATCAAAAGTCAACCTGAAACCTAGATAAATCAAAGTCAACTCGAAACACAGTTTTAAACCTACCCACAACTCAGCGCTGGTATGACACAATCTTGAGGCAATCCTGCAAGGTCTGGATTGAAGGTGCTATCTTGAACATGAGAGAACTTACTAAATTAGAGAAGAAAGCCAGACATTTTGATACCCAAGCATTCTCAAATACAAACATCACTTCTTAAACTACATACACATACATATGTATTATTTTCGTCTTTATACCTTAATAAAAAGTAAAAGCAAAAATCACTTGGGAAAAGCCTTCTCTTCGGAGATCTCTGCATAAAGGACTTACATGTACTCCCTTATCCTCCTCCATACTAACCTTTTCTGTCATCACATCTTAAATACACTTCTGCAGTTATTTCTTTCCAAGGAACACTTGTAAACAATTATAAATCAATCACCCGAAGATATTAGGGAAAGAGTAATCCAACATGAAATTGACGAACCTGATTGTCTATGCTGGCAGATTTTTTGTGTGATTGGATAAGACTATCCCCACAAAATCTTGATGTTCATAAAGGCTACTAAAACTACAAACTTAATACAAATAGATGGCAAAGGCTGGTAAATCTCTTGGTTCCCTAAGTAAAGATCCAAGTATAAAACCTCATACAAATTCATCAATCAAAGTTATTACATGATGATCTAACCATTTCCAGTGTACAGGATTATTGTTCCCTAACTATCCAAGTCTTGACACAAAACCACTTAGGAAGGTAGCAAATAAAAGGAGAACAGCAATGTTTAAATGCCAGAAGGTGAACCCAAGTTGGCCCTTCAATTCAAGCAGTCCTAAGTGGTGGAGAAACGAGAATGACTCCATCTCCTCTAACAAAGAGAAAAGGAACTGTGCGCCTTGTAGTCTGTAAAAGAATGGGGAAAAAAGTCATCCACCCAAATAAGACTTGATTGAACTTTTACCTATTAGTTTGATCTTTTCAAATGTTTTGGCTTATAAATTAGATCGTATAACGACGTAAAACCAAAGTAAAGAATATCCTGTGAAAATTTTAACATACCCGAACAATCTCTTCGTATGTTTCGTCATCAATTTCTACTGTAGTCACAATCTCTTCAACATCCCCAAGAATCATATTTAAATGTTGATCATAAGCCTGCAAATCAAATTGCCAAACAACATAAAAAGAATAATAGAATATTTCAACAGTTAATGGTCCAATCAAGATCTTGAACAAGAGATGATTTTTCAAAAAGCAATCTTTCACAAGGCTTCACGCATTTATTTGTAGCTCAAAAATAGTGGTCCCTGCACCACAAAGTTTTAGAAGATATTGATTGCTTAAGTAGAACCTAAATGTTTATTTACGTTAACGGCACAACTAGAGAATACTTAATGACCTAAGTGATAAAGAGGTAAATAGTAACAGATTCAGATTAAATGAATGAGAAGTAAAGGGACTATAGTTAGGCCCATAAAGTCAAAAATGACCAAGCAAAAAGTGCTTAAGAATTTGTTGCAGGTTGGCATCAACTTGGTACATCTATGTTAGGTCCCCCGATGAAGTTAGCTAGCTGATTGTATTGAACATATTTCACTTCAACTAAATTTGTTGAAAATGCTTGAACATAGCAAAGTCATCAAAGTACTGAATTCTACTGCACATGTTAATCCCATGGTTTGGTCTAACCACAAAAGTAGCAAGAGATAGAATGAACAAACAACAACCTAACAAGAGGATAATCAACTGAATAGGCCAACATTTACTTAACTAACATAATCACCATCACCCATTAGCAAGAAAAAAAATACATATATACATATATATATATGAACACCATAACTTATTTCACAAAAAAAAATGAACACCATGACCACTGCCACCAAGACGGCCAGGCAGACGATTTTGGATTAGACCAGGTCTGACTCCTAATAATATTAACATAATTACATGATATAGAGCCATCAAATGATTATTTAACTTCATATTTCTTAACTATAAATCCACGAGAAATGAGAAGGTGAGCATTGTTTCTGAATGTTTGCCTCACTGCTCCTCAAACAAATCATTCGAGTTCCAGGATCCATTTTATTCAGCAAGAAAATATGGGATATTTTATTCTCGGTGAATCAAATTGCATTATTCAAAAATACATTTGTGGAATATTTTGTTCCCCACAAAATCGAATTACATTTATGAGCCGAAAAAAAAAAAAAGTAGAACAAACATACATCTTAGATCATGTTCTCATATAAATTAATTTAGCCAACTTAGATGTATGATATTCAACCAAGCATTTTCATTCATTTCCTTTTATCCTATTATAACAACAAGAAAAATCATTGCCCTAATGTTGTCCGTAAAAAATTGCCATCAACTAAGCATAACATTGAAGATTATATTCTCAGTTATTGAACATCTACTATTCTCGTTGTTAACTCAAACTTCATTCTTAATCCATCCGCAAAAAAAAAAAAAAAACATTCTTTTCGTTTCTTGTCGGTTTACTTCGAATAAATACTCAATTGACATTAATCTTTCAAAATTTAAAGCAAGCAGCTTAATAAAACACCATCTGAAAAAAGAAAATCCAAGGAAGTTCATGACACCCTAAAATCCAGATAAACCCAAGGGACCAATTAAAAAGAAAACAATTTTGAAACACCGATTATACAGAAAGAAAAAGAAAATAAGAGCGTGTACCGAAAACCCTATCTGTAAGAAAAATGTAATATTGAAGAAGATAAGGAATTGAAAACAAACGTAAGTAATATGTTGCAGACTGAAATTGATACATACATGAAGCTTGCCCCGGAGTTCCCGGTCGGACCGGAGTTTCACGTAGATCCGTTCGTCGAGACTCAGCCTGATTAGATCCAATGGCTCCTTCACTGCACTTTCTTCTTCGGTCGCCATTCTTTCTCTTCTCTTTTCTTTCCTGATCAGCAACCGATTACCGATTTCTAGCAGACAGCGAGATTTATTTAGGGCTTAAAATCTTGAACCGAAATAAGACCCGGAAGTTCTAGGCGCAACCACCCGTTTACCCGATCAGTCTGATAGTACCACTAACTTTTCCGGGGTAAATATCGTAACAGCTTAATTTCTTAAAACAGTCCGATTAGTGTTGTGAGACACTGCGTGCTACCCCAAGATGTGTATTTCTATAAATTTAAATAATGATATTCTATTGTTTTTTTTTTATAAATATATATATATATATAATATCTTCTTACATATTTGTATGTCTAATCATTCTCAAACTTACAACTTTAATTAATTTTATTCTAAACACCCTTCTTTAATTTTGTCATTTATTGAGGATTAAATAATATTTATTGTAAAATTCTCAAGCAACTTGTTATGGTGGAAGATGTTGCTATCAATTGAACATTGCAATTGTCTATCTTGATAATCCAAAAACTGGTAATTATACAATGTTTTTGTATTAAAAAAATATGGGTTTAAATTTGTGCACAATAATTATATAATCTATATTTTAAAATTATTTGGAGAGGAAGTATGTTGTGTTATAAAGTTATGGTACTAAGTTTTATTTTTTTTAAGTAATAATTACACTTCAAATTAAATAATTATTTGGGTACAAATTTTTAGTAAACCAAACGGGTATAAGAGAAAATATTTTCTAAATTGTCAAAGTAAAAACTTAAGAATCACTTATGTTTAATTGTCTTTTCCAATTATCTTTTAAAGATAAATATTATAAAATAATTAAGGTCAAAAAAACAAATATTATTATTATAATTGCTTGCAGAAAGATAATTCTTCTAAAAAAACATATAATAAAAAAATAAATTTTATATTAAAGAATAATTTTTTCTTGTTATTTCGAGATCTATAAATATATATATATATATATATATATTGTAAAATGGTTCGATAATTTATATTAATTCAAACTTCTTAAAATATGTATTATTCTAAAGACACATTGGGTCTAATAATGGTCGGTTGTCCTTCTAACTTGGAGGTTCCGAGTTGAGTTCTCGTGACTCAATAACAATATTATTTTAAGGGTTAAATAATAGTTTTGTAATTTTATTACAATTTAAAATTTTTATTGTTTTAATAGTAATATTTATTGTGGGCCAATGTTTTGCTTTTATTTTATTTCAAGCTTTTAATTTCCAAGTTATTATTTTATAAATTAATTTAAGTTAAATTTACTTAATTAAAATTTTTATATGTTAATTTTCTAAAATTTAAATTAATATGAATATTTTCAAAATCAATATGTTTAAATATACTATATTTATATTATCATCTCTAATTTATTAACAACTTATTTATTATGAAATCATCATGTTTACATGCATTTAATCTATTTATGCAAGATTATTAAATAAATTAACTAATAAACGAATTATTAGTTCAATAATAAAAGATGATCATAATAATTACATCGTTGTGCATAGATTACGAGAATTCTTAGCGAAATAAATAATTTAATATGATCATAATGCATTATATGAGATTGAATTATAATTTTAAGACTGAAATTAAAATTAAAGGCTAACCCTAATTTCCCCTTCCTACATCCAATTTTAAATTTATTGATTATTAAAAGAAATATGGGTGTTGATGTAAACAGACAATATAATATGTTTTTTTTTTCGTTATTCCCAGTTGTCTTTACTTGTAAATTATAAATATTATAATAAAATAATTTGGGTCATAGCAATTTTCTTGGGGTTTTATTATTTATTTTGTATATTTATAGATAGTCTTGTGGACCCACTGGGATCTTCGCATACATTGAACCTGCTTTTCATCTCTCTCTCTCTCTGGTTATACATGCGCAAGCCAAACTTCCGAAAAGCCTCTCCGAAGCCTAACAACGCCAGAGCTCAGCTGCTGATTTTCTTGATCTTCGACCCTGGATTCTCGGCTTAATCACAGGGACCTCTCTTACACCTTCCTGGGTCTTCAAGATTTCCTCAGATAAGTACCCATTTTCATCATATTCCAGGAAAGATTCTGTTTTTTTGGCTTGATTTTCTCTTCTCATCTTCAGATTGGTGATTTTCGAACTTCGTATATCTTTAGCTGTTAAGGGAGTAAATCTGTGGTACTTGAAGTCTGTAAAGAGATGATTTTTTGATCTGATATGCTTCGGGTTTTGGATTTTCTGCTAATTTCTTTTGGATGTGAAAGAGGGAGTTTGATTCATGGCGGACAATGCTTTGTAAAATGAAGAAGCAAATGACTGTAGGGTTGACTAGAGTAGATTGAGTAGAAATTATTGGTTCCAAGCTGATGAGGGAAGATCAGGGTTTGAGGTGAAATGGGATTATTGTTTTTGATCTGGGTTTTCGTTTAAAACGAGGAATGGAAGGGGGTTTATCTCAGGGAGGTATGATTCCAGGTGGGTCTTCTTTTAGCGGTCTTGATTTGCAAACTTCAATTAGGGTTCATAATCAACCACAGCATCCAACCACCATACACCAACACCACCATCGTCAAGGCTCTTCTGTTCATCCTTCACTTCATGAGGGTTTTCCTCTCACAATGGGTTCCATGCAAGGTTGTGATCAAACCATGTCAATGGCGGATTACAACAAGGTAGAAAGGGGAAAAAACTCAGTTAGCGACGAGGACGAGCCAAGCTTCACAGAAGAGGGTGGTGATGGTCATAATGATCCAAACAAAGGCAAGAAAGGGTCTCCATGGCAACGTGTTAAGTGGACTGATAAGATGGTGAGGCTTTTGATAACAGCAGTGTCTTATATAGGTGAAGACGCATCTTCAGATTATAGAAGGAAATTTTCAGTTTTACAGAAGAAGGGAAAGTGGAAATCGGTTTCAAAAGTCATGGCAGAAAGGGGTTATCATGTTTCCCCACAGCAGTGTGAGGATAAATTCAATGATCTCAACAAGAGATACAAGAAGCTTAATGATATGCTTGGTAGGGGTACTTCTTGTCAGGTTGTTGAGAATCCTGTGCTGTTGGATTTGATAGATTTTTTATCTGAGAAAGAAAAAGATGATGTTCGGAAAATTTTGAGTTCGAAGCATCTTTTCTACGAAGAAATGTGCTCTTACCACAATGGGAATCGGTTGCATCTACCTCATGATCCAGCATTGCAGCGTTCTCTGCAGTTGGCTCTTAGAAGTCGAGATGATCACGATAATGATGATTTAAGGAGACACCAAAATGATGATCCCGATGAAGAAGATCAAGAAGTGGAAGCAGATGAACATGACGAATATGAGGAGCACCGTGGTTTACATGCGGGTGTAAGTGGCTCTTTGAAGAGGTCAAGACAAGGGCAAGGGCAGGAGGATGTCTGTTTTCCGAATTCCTGGAACTCTCAGGACTGCAACAAAGGTCCCTATCCTCATCAACATACTTGCCAAACTGATACGAATCAAGTATTAACTGAAAGCAGCCGCGCAGCTTGGTTACAGAAGCAGTGGATTGAATCCCGTTCGCTTCAAATAGAAGAACAGAAACTGCAGATTCAAGCAGACATGTTGGAATTGGAGAAACAGCGGTTCAAGTGGGAGAGATTCAGCAAGAAAAGGGACCGTGAATTGGAGAGGATGAGAATGGAAAACGAGAGGATGAAACTAGAGAACGAACGAATGGCATTGGAATTGAAGCGAAGGGAATTGGGTGGCGATTTATGAAACTTGGGATGTATGTATTGAGTAAAGGAATAGCAATCTCTAATTGTGATTGTTTTTGGGTTTAGTGTAAAAAGTGGTGATTGCCTATAGTTAAAGAATTTTGTGATGAGGTTTGATTTTTGCTTCTATCGTGTAGTTTGGCATAATTTTGTAAGTCTGAATATTATTATCAATTCTGAGAGTTTTCCCTTGTGATTAAAGTTATATAGGTGCGTGTATATATATACATATGTGTGTGTGTGTGTGTGTGATTGTTTTGTTTTGTGTAGAAATACTATGTTGAAGTTAGGCCTGGCTTAAGACGTAGAATTTTTTGGATGGGAGATTTTGAGACTTCGGTCAATAAATTGAAACACGTGAGATATTTATTTATAACCGGTAATACAAGGTGCCAACTCGTATTCAACGTACGGGAGAAGAGAAATATAAGAAGCCCAAATATTTTCCTCAACCAAAACTAGTATGATTGTAGGGCCGGCCCACTTGATTGGTCAAATACTTAGAATTGCTTAACCTTACCCCCACAATTTTTTTAAAAAAAATTTATTACAAATTTATATTGTATATTTTTTACAATATATTGAAATTATTTTATTGTGTTGAAGTACTAACGAGGCTCTTCAGATTTTATAATTAGATAATTTATAATTAAATATACAAAAGTTATAATGTGTATATTTAGAAAATAATTAGCTTTTATTAAAAATTTATATTTTAAAATTTAAAAATTATCTTTACCAAAAATATAAATTTTATTTTATTAAAATAATAAAACTTTCTACTACTATTTTTTAACTTAGCTTATAAGTGTCATATTATATATAACAACAATAATAACTTCTATGTCACTCTTTTGACTTGTCAACACACCACGTCGTCTCTTTAAAAGTCATGACGACTCTTGTATAAATATGTCAGCACTAATTGACATTAGTTTTTCACGTTAGTACTGAACTTCTCTTCTTGCTATATATGTTGTCTTCCTCACTCAGTTCACGTACTTTAGACTTACTTTATCTTTCTTTCTCTATCTCTCTCTCGCTGTCACAGTGTGTAACGACTCGTATTCTCCGTTAAGAAATGAATGTTTAACACGTATATATAACTTAATAAATTTACACAACAATATGCTAAAATTTGTAATTTAATTATCTCTTGTACACAGTTATAATTTATAAATCTCACAAAATGTATAAGTTACATCATTATATATTTAGCTCTACTATACAAATAGAACTTCTAAAATTATCAAAAATTCTTTAGAGTTTTCTTTTGACCTTAAACACGCTCCTAATTAGAATTAATTGCATTAAACGGATACGAATTGAGGTGAATTTTACGAACTCAGTAAGAAAAATACAGTATCCATACAAAAGCATGCAAATAACTAATCATACAAATTTTAGAAAACAAATGCGGATTTTAAAGTGAACTTTCCAAATATGAAAGACAAACAACAACAATTCTTCTCATTTGTCATTTCACATATCAATTTTTTTTTTCCTCTGATACCCATATCACATGCTCCAATCTCATATTCATTAACAAATTATCATTCGAATATATTCATGATCGCATGACATACATATCAATTCATTATCAAAATAGATTTATATTCGAGTACTATATATATCCATCAAAAAACACATCACATTCATGTTCGAACAAA